TGTGAACTTTCAGAGTAGGTAAATCCACAGAGACAGAAAGCAGACTAGTAGTTGTCAGGGGCTGAGGGGAGGAGTCAATGGGAAGTGACTGGTTAATGAAAACAGGGTTTCCTTTTGGGGGATAAAAATACCCTGGAACTAGACAGAAGTGATGATTGTGCAACATTGTGAATGTACTAAATGCCACTGAATTAACTGTACACTTTAAAATGGTTAATGGCTAATTTTGTGATGTATAAAATTTACTTAATTAAAAAAAATAAAGCAAGAGTGGCTATTTTAAAGCAAAAAATTTACCACAGAGAGATACTATATAATGATAAAAGGGTCATTCCATCAATAAGACATAGGAAACAACAAAGCTGTCAAATGCATAAAGCAAAAACTGATAGAACTGAAGGGAAAAATAGACAAACCTATAATTATAGTTGAAGATTTCAATATCCTCTCTCAACAATTGATAGAATAACTAGGGAGAAAACCAACAAGGATATAGAAGAACTCAACAACACCATAAACCCAACAGGATGTAATGAACATTCATAGAACACTCCTCTAACAACAGTGGAATGCATACTCTTTTCAAGTACCCACAAAATATATACCAAGATGACCATATCCTGGGCCACAGAGAAAACCATGACAAATTTAAAGAAGTGAAATAATATAGAATGTTCTCTGGCCACAATGGAATCAAATTAGAAATCAAAAACAGAAACATATCAGGAAAATCTCCAAAGATACTAAGCAGCAGACTGCTAAACAAGCCCTGGGCCAAAGAGCAAGTCCCAAAGGAAATTAAAAAATACAATGAACTGGATTTCATTGAAATGAAAACAAAAACTTATGCTCTGTGAAAGACTGTTAAGAGAATGAAAGGATAAGCTACAAATTGGGAGAAAATATTTGCAAACCACATATCCAACATAGGACTAGTATCTAGAATATATGAAGAATTCTCAAAAATCAACACTGCAAAAACAATACAATGAGAACATGGGCAGAAGACATGAAAAAGCATTTTGAAGAAGAAGATATACAGACAGCAAACAAGCACTTGAAAAGACACTCAACTTCATTAGCCACTAGGGAGATGCACATTAAAGCCACAATGAGATATCATTATATAACTATCAAAATGGCTAAAACAAAAAATAGTGATAACACCAAATGCTTGCAAGGATATGTAGAAAGTGGATCTCTCATTCATTGCTGATGGGAATGTAAAATGGTACAGCCACCCTGGAAAAGAGTATGGAAGTTTCTTATAAAATTAAACATGGAATTATGATATCGCCCAGAATTGCACTCCTGGGCATTTCTTCCAGAAAAATGAGTGTTCACACAAAAACCTACACACACGTGATTAGCGGTAGCTTCATTCATAATAACCAAAAAGTGGAAACCTTCAATGGGTGAATGTTTAAATAAACTGGCTCACCCTTATAATGGAACCCTACTTGTGGAATATACTATAAAGCATATGTACTTCACAGGGCCTGGGTTTCCAAAGCCTTGCAGTTACAAATATTGACCGTGCAGAGGACTGGAAATTTTCCTCAGGCTATAAAGTCTCTGGTGTAAGATAAAGATTTGTGGCACAGCAAGGTTGCTGGCTCAAGGACAGACTAGTTACTGATTGTTATGTAAAGATACTGAGAAATACTATAAGAAGAAATGTTTGCTAAGATCAAGCTTTTGTTGACAGCCTTACTGGAATGTCATCTGGCTTGTTTCACTGAAAGTTACCAGCCTATATTGTTAAAGTATAACCCCACCTATGTTCCAGCCTATATTGTTAAACTATAACCCCACCTGTGTCTCTTCCTGTAACTTCCTGGTTTGGAAAATAAATGCAGGAAGAGAACCCCAATTTGGGGTTAATTTCCCAAGGAAGGAATGTCTCTCACTTGAGTGTTCCCAAGGGAAGTTAACCGCTTCGGGGTCTCTCACTGCTCAGAAGAGATGGGCTTTGAGTAATCCTTTGCATCTCTGTCACCCAGGGGAAGTGGGGTGACAAATCCGTGGGGGACGAAGCAACACAAAGCAACACCTACTCAGCAACAAAAATGAACAAACTATTGGCACACTCAACAACCTAGATGAATGCTGTAACACCAAAGTCAAGGGTGCAGATCCTTGTACCAGCCAGCCACCAAAATAATAACAATAACAATGACAACAACAAACTAGATAAATCACAAGAGAATTATCCTGAGTTAAAAAACAAATCCCAAAAGGTTACATACTGAATGATTCCATTTATATAACATCCTTGAAAAGATAAAATTATAGAAATAGAGAAGAAATTCCTAGTTTGTCACCAGATTTTAATATTTCTGATTTTCTTGTTGACAGGCAATAGAAAGGCTCACTAAGAAAATTCATTTCTAACAACCTAGTTTCAAAGCATTTACAAAGTGCTTGTCATGTTCAACTAGGAGCTAAAAATCAGGCAAAGATGTAGAAGACAATCTAGATTTAGAAGAGATAATGATACTGAACAAGAACTACAGTAATGAACACAAGATAGATTCATAAGATGCTTCATTATTCCTGGCAGCAATTGACTAGTGAACAACCAACCTATGGATAAGCGATTCTAAAGAAAGTCGTCTTCCCTTGCTTACTCCGAGCCAGCCTAGGATACTTCCCTACCAGCATCTCCCACTGCCAAGCCATCTCTGTGTCTCACCTCAGCCCTAACCACCCCCACCCAAGTTGGCTGTGTACAAACAGGAGGAGAAAATGATACACACGTGAATGCACTCTTCTCTCATGCCCACCTTGCTGCAATTCCTCAATATGAACATCCAAAGGAAGAGGATAAGGTGGCAAAGGAGAAGAGTTTGCTAAAACTTCCAGCTGCCAGGCCTCCTCTGGCTTCAGTTATCAGGAAACCATGCTGCATTCTTACCCCACCCCCTCAGCGCTTACTTCCCTCAGCCTTCACAAAACCCCCCTGACTCCACCCATCTCTCTTCATCCTATCCCAAAAGCATTTCCCAAGTGCCTCCTTCCATTTAAAACCCACTCTTCTACTCCCAGCTTTGCTAGATCCCTGCCATGAGTCACATTCCAAGGAACTGGAAAACAAATACAGAATGAAATTCATCATTTGTGAACACTCTAACCCTTGCCGTCTACTAACGCTCTCCTGTAACTGTAGTTAGTTTTTTAATAATTAGGTTACTTTTAGCAATTAGAGGTTTGATTTATACCAAGAAACCTAAAATTGAACTACTATTCATACCCACTGGGCAAGAAATGCTTTTGTCTGTTAATATATCTTGCCTGTCTGGCTTTAGCTGGGACCCAGCAAGTGAAGTCGGTGGGTGGTCAAAAGTGGTATCCCAGGGATGTGAGGACAGCTACAACAATGACAATATCCTCTCTGTTGAACTGTAGGGTGGATTTGGCTAACAAGGTGGCTGGTGAGGTTTCCCATCTTCCCTAAACCCTCCTGGTGCTCTGCTTCCAAAGCTTGGAGTGGTACAAAGAGATTATTTGGTCCCTGTACCAGAGTTCATCTACTTAACTCAAGCCCATAGTTTCATACTCAGTTCTAACAAACACAGTTGATTTCCAAGTTCACAGCTAATCAGAAATAACGAATCTTCTTACAAAGAAAAAGCACTTTATTCATTCAACAACCATTTGTTTGAGTACCTAAGTAGTGCCTGGCATTTGGAGATAAAGCAGTGACTAATACACAACAGTGACCCCTATCCTCCCTGGCTTACATAGGGGAAGGGGCTCAGGCAGTAGAAGAGTAAATTAAAATAAAAATAATTACAGCACTTTATAGTTGCTAACAAGGACAAAGAGCTCAGGATCTTGCACTTTCTCAGGGTTATAAGGAGCAACTATCCTTTCCAGAACTGTAGAAATATAGAATAAAAAATTTATATAACTTATTGACCCCAAATATACCCTAAAATTTATTTTTTAAAATGAAATCCCAGATGCCAACTTGCTTTCATCTATCTTGAAAGCTGAATGCCATCCTCTTTCTCTAGAGTAGAAAGTGCTAAGTGGAGGGCTTTAAGGTGGTATTTCCATAGAGGCAGGAACCAAAAACAGTCGTAGAGAAGGCAGGAAAGGAAGCAGAAAGTATGTCAAAGAAAACGCCTTCAGCTATTTTGAAATTTGGCCTAGGGTGGATGCTGTAACAAGGAAAAATACTCTTCTTTCTCTTCCTTTTTAAGATCACTTAGCACCCTGCTCCCTGGAATCCACACTAATTCCATACTTCAGTTGCTTTAAGCAACTTGTGTAGACTTACCTGGGCACAAAACCACTATGTGAAAAACTTCTTTTAGGAAAGTGGAGTGTATTCCAAACAACCGACAAATCAACTCTACATAAACTGGAGACTGCCAAGTTAATGTTAAACACAAGCCTTGTTTTCTATAATGTTTAATTCTGCATCATCTAGCCAATCTGCCACCTCCTCAAGCCCCAGCCTTATCTCATTCCACTCTTCCCCTCATTGCCTGCTCACTCCCTTCCCTCCGTGAGGGACTTCCTCAAATGTCACCTTCCCTCAACACCTCCTCCCCCACTTAAAACTGTAAACTTCCAACACTATGCCACTGAAAAACCCTCTATTTAACTTATTGTATTAACTATTATCCCTATTATAAGTCCCATGATTGCAAGGATTCATCTGTTCTGTTCATTGCTGTATCCCCAAGGTCTAGAACAGCACAGGTTTACCCGACAGGAGTACAATAAACGTGTGAATGAAGAAGAGTCGTTCATTCAACAAATGTTCGCTGGACACCTGCTCCCGTCCAAGTTTGTAAAGTCAAGACAAATAAGACATCGTCTCTGCCTTTAATGCACCACAAGGACAGCCGCACCACAAGCAAATGTCCAACACAGGACAAAAAATAAGCCCACAAGCATGTCAAAGAATGTGCCTAAAGTTCAGAGGAAGAGGCCTCCGCTTCGCCTTTCTGGGGACCAGTCCGGCTTCCCACCGCCGCGCAGCTCACCAGGGACCATCCCCGGAGGGTCTCCTCAGGACCTCCGAGAGAAGCAGGTCCCATTCGCCATCCCCAGGCCTGAGAGGTTCCTTCTCCAGAGATACAACTTCCTCCCTCTTCACGCCGGCCACGAGACTCAAGGAAACAAACGGAAAGACCTCAGACTTTCCGCCTCCGCTCCTTCCCTCTTCCCCTGCGTGCCACTCCCGACAGCTGCCTGGCACCGACCGCGGCTCCAGACCAACCGACCCAAAGGACCAAGAGCGCCCTACTTCCACGGCCCCCACCTGCTCCCAGCGTCCTCTTCGGCACCTCCGCGCGCGTGCGCGAACGGACCCACCAGGGTTCGGGCGGGGCTGGCGCCCCTACCGCGGCTGGACACGCCCCCAGCGTAGAGCTGGCTTCTGATTGGCTGCCCGACGCTCGCCCGAGCGTGGGTGGGAAGCCTGAGGCTGCACCCTATCAGTAATTGCCGGTGGAGTCGTATGCTGTTGCGGCTTGCTCCTGGTGTACTCTGCGGGCCTCGGGAATCCTTGCAACACCGCCAGCATGTCTCAGGTACGACGCGTGCCCCGCCAGGCTGAGAAGGTGCAGCGGGGCGGGAGGCCGGCGTGGGGATCATGACCCTGCGGGGGTCTTGCCTTTAATGCCGCGCAGTACCTCCTGGACCCGTGCCCAGCCCTAATTCTTTGGCAGTCTTGTGAGCGGAACTTTCCATTATGGGATTTCTAAAAATGTTACCCACCCCGCAACTGCTGGAAAGTTGCCCATGGGGTGGACTTCTCGGTGAAGCAGGGATAGGGGTGGAGGCGAAGGTCCCAGATAGATAGATGGGGGGACGGGGAGAGTTGCACCGACCGAAGGAGCGAGAAGACTGGCTCCCCCATCTGGAAGGACAGGGCAGGACTAGGGCGTCACGGCAGAATGGGGAAGCGTAGAGGCTTTGGCTGGGACCTTGGAGGTCAGGAGAAGTAGGGGCCGAGTGCCCGGCGTGCAAGGTCGCGGCCTGGGGAGAGATGAGGCATTTCTCTTTACTTCCAACGTAGACCCTTGTCTGGAACCGAGCTGTGTGGGGCAACCTCTGGCTCTTCCTGCCTGCCGCACCCCACCCCACCCCCCAGTCCGGGCACTGGGACGGAGGTCGGCGCTGAATGCCGGGGCCCCGGGGGGAGGGGCCCAACGAGCTCTGGCGGCTGACCGCGGTGCTCTAGTGCCCTGTCCGCTGCTCAGCTGTTTCGAGCACGCTCTGCCACCCCCGTCCACAGGTCAGGGCTTCGCTGGGACCCCGGCCATTCCCCGGTCGGGCCTGGTGGTGGCCAGGCAGTTGGCCGCGCTGCTTTACCCACCGAGTTACGCCCACTGCGGGCAGCATTTTGGCCTGCCACCTTCACCGCTGCATTTTCAGCACCTGGAACACCCGATGTGATACGTAGTTGTGATTGAATGAGCAACTTACGTGCTTCATCTCTTTGTTTTGCTGAATTTTTCTAGCTGCCCTTTTGGGGGGAAGGGAGGCACACTTGAGGGGGCTGCTTTTCCTGACCAGCCTTGCAGAAAGAGTGCTCCCTTTCCGTCCTCTCCCTTCCCATCACTGGACCCTGCCCACCCAGAGGAGGCCCTCATTCCTCTCCCCTCCCTCCCATATAGGCTGAGTTTGAGAAAGCTGCCGAGGAAGTTAAGCACCTCAAAACCAAGCCATCAGACAATGAGATGCTGTTCCTCTACAGCCACTACAAACAAGCCACCGTGGGCGACGTGAATACAGGTATGTGGAGCTGAGGTTGGGAGGGCCCTGCTCATCCAAGCAGGCTCCTCTTGCAGCTTGGATTGAAGTCTGTGGGAACTTCACTCTCAAACCACCTGAGGACTTACTCTTCAGGTGGGGCATGGTGAGGGTTCACAGTGCTTAAACTGGGATTGTTTACCAAAGACCATGTTCCTGGATTCTCAGTGGCTCAAGTAGCAGGATTCAAATATTGGTTTTAGAAAGGCTTTACTGATTATCACCAGTAGCTCCCATCTCCTAGGGAGGAAGCAAAGGCCCCAGCTTGGAGGAGATTTGCTCTAGGCGCTCAGCTCAGTAGTAATTTTGTTGAACCATACCACTTCTGCTCCAGATGGGCAGGATCAAAGTTACAGCACTTGGCAGCCCAGCAAAGCCTCGTATCAGGAGCAGAGAAGTACCTGGCTTCTTGGGGCAGGTCAGAAGCATTTTTGCTGACAAGTCTGTACGTTCCTGATAACCATTTGTTCCCTATCTGAAAATCTTGACACAGATTTTGAGGCCGTGCTTTGGACTACCAAATTCTGTAATATTGCCTTTCCTGCCTTTACTCCTTCAGTTTCTGCCCCTGCGCCCCTGAAACTCAGGCATTTACTGAGGCAACGGCACATTACATTCCATGCAAGGACTCAGGATTGGTGGTCATGGCAGCAGAGCAAGGAGGTCCCTCCCTGACCCTGTTCAGGAGAAGGGCAAGCATGGTCCCAATTCACTGTAGCTTGTATGGAGGGTGGAGCAGGTGGGCTGACTGCTCACCACCTGGAAGCCAGAGATGGGACACCAGAGCTAAGGTCCACAGGCAATGGCAAGTCAAACCCTGCAGTTCACACAGAGGGCTTAGTTGAGGGAGGTCTTGTGGCGAAGATGAGTTTTACAGTAGGTTTATAAACTCTGAATCTGGGAGGCCAGGTGAGGGGGAGGCGGCCAGAGGGGCTGGGATGCTTTTCTGCCAGACAGTATTTTCACAGACTGGCCATGCTGGTGCTACCTGCTCTTACATGAGTGGGGGTAGGCTGGCTTGGGAACCTGTCACTTCTAGGGCTGTACTATTCAGTAGCCACTGGCCAAATGTGGTTATTTAAATTTTTACTGACAACAGTTAAAATCGAAAGTTCTGTCCTCAGTCGCACAAACCACATTTCAGGTGCTCGGTAGCCACACGTGGCAAGCGGCTCCTGAATTGGATAGTGCATATGTATGTTTGTACCATTGTGGCAGAAAGGGCTGTCAGGAAAAAAAGGGCTGTCAAGGAGTGCAGGTGCAGTGTCTGTCAGGTGTGCCTGGGAACGCTTCCCTGAAAGCACTCGAAGACACTTATTTTCTCAGACACAGTGCTCTGGGCTATGGACACACAGATTGCACTCCTCAGCTTTGTGCTCAGTGTGACAGTGGAATAGGTCAGTAGGGAGGTAGTGAGTGTGTTTGCCAGCTGCAGGTGATAACAGGTCTGTAAGCATAAAATTGTAGTATAATTTTTAAAAACTTGCCATCAGTAGAAACCTCCCACAAATGAACAAGAAATAGACTAACAAATGGTAGAAAAATGGGGCAAGGATGCAAATAGACAGTTCACAGAAAAGGACACCCCAAAGACTAACAGTAATGCGTTAGGGAGAGAAATTAAGTGGCTGAGAGCAGGAGTGGGCGAGAAATTTCATAGTATTCACCTTTGTGGCTTTTGAATTTTGAGCCATGTAAATAGATGTTTTAAAGACCTTTTTTTATTTGAGTACAATTTTTAAAAGGAGGAATTTGAGAGTTTAATTTGTAAGACAAAGACTGCCTTATGAGAATGGCTTTCCTCCTATTTTCTGTTGATTTTAAGTCTGGATTTCCATACATGTGGGTTTCTTAATGCAGAGCCCACTGCACTAGACCTGTTAAACTCCATGACGCAGCCTAAAAGGAATAATAAAAGATGGTTTTCATGGCAAGAAAATTGATAAAATTTCCTCAGCACATGAAGCAGATCTAATGTCTTTCCTTCCCTTGTTTTAGACCGGCCCGGGATATTGGACCTCAAAGGCAAGGCCAAGTGGGATGCCTGGAATGAACTGAAAGGTAATTGTTCTAAACAGTTTCCCTCCTTTGTAAAGCCCAGTAGTTAAAAACTTCATTTTGGAGTGTAAGGTGTGAGCAGAGAGAACAAAGTAGACGAGGCACAGCTGGAAACCAGCCTGGCCTTCCCCAGATGGGAAAAAAACTGGACCACCTGCTGTTTTCTCCTAATACTGCTTATGCCCTTTCTAAAAGCACCATTTCTGAGCAGGGCTATCGTCTGGAGAGGAGGGGCTGGAGACCAGGCTACTGAAAAACAGGGTGGGAGGTGATATAGTTGGCATGGGCATTGGATGTATTCAGAATAAGGGGTCGTTTCCTGCCGACTCCTCCCTCTCCTGCACAAGGCTCAGCAGTGACCCCCTAGCCCAAATAGCCCTCCCCAGTTCCCTTCTAGCCAGAAGAGAACATAAAAGAAGGGAATGAGCTAATGCATGGCAAGCTGTTGGCCCATAGTAGGCTCAGTGAATGGAGCTATTATATGCTAAGCAATAGCAGCCAAGAAGTATCCAAGCTCCTACTTAATCACATGCCACCTGCGGCAGCAAGAACCAAAAGTTGGCACCAAAGCTTCTGGCAGCTTTTATGTTCTCTCTGGCTAGTTTCTGAATAAGCCCTCTGTCTTCTTGCAAATGAGAAACACTTGAATTCAGAAAGGGCCACGATACAATAGATACACTCCTAGGATTTGCAAGTAACTGGAAAGGGAATGCCCGCCTGACTGTCCATTTTCATCGGGCATTTCCACACTATTCTCAGGCTTTGTGTACTCGCCAGTGCTTCACTGCAGAATTCAGGAAACTAGGTGTTACTCTCTCTCAGGGATATATTCAGTGTCCTTTGTGCTGCAGCAGGAGGACAGATTGCCTTATCCCCCTCCACAAACCAGCTGCTTTTGCTCAGAATTCTCAAAACTTTTCTCTGGGGAGAAGGTACCTGGCTTTGCTTTTTCGCTGCCAGCTTAACAGCTCTGGGAGATAAGAGCTCAACACAAAAATATGAGTACTTGATAGGGCAAAGTCCATGAGAGTTAGCAGGACCAGGAAAATCACTGCGGTTCTCAAAACTTTTCTCTGGGGAGAAGGTACCTGGCTTTGCTTTTTCGCTGCCAGCTTAACAGCTCTGGGAGATAAGAGCTCAACACAGAAATATGAGTACTTGATAGGGCAAAGTCCATGAGAGTTAGCAGGACCAGGAAAATCACTGCGTTGACAGTTTCCTGCCTGTCTGGAGGGCCAAGACTTTCTTCCGAGGCTCCTGCTAACGACGCCCCCACTGCCATGGGGGCACATGTAGCCAGCAGGTGGGTGACAGGCCTCGGGCCTGCCGCACACCCACCATGAGCTCAGTGCTTTCATTGTGGGCCAGGTTCCTCAGGTACTTTAAATCTAATCCTTGGCAGGTCTCTGAAGTATAAGTGGTAGTAGAACCCCTGTCTTCCAGGTGAGAAACAGCCTCGGAGAATTACACCAGGGCTGTCTGTGGCCCTAAAGCCTGCTTGCCTCCCATGCTGCCTCCCTGACAAATAGCTCTGTTGCTTTCTTACAGGGACTTCCAAGGAAGATGCTATGAAAGCTTACGTCAACAAAGTAGAAGAGCTAAAGAAAAAATACGGAATATAGAGAATGGATTTGGTTGCCAGCCACACATTTAACCTAAACTGATATAATGCCTTGTTTTTTCTAATACTGCGGATGATGTGAAATAGTGAAAATAACCAGTTAACTCAGCTCCTCAAGGCTGTTCAGGATACGGCTCTAACAGATCGGGGCTAAAATGATTACTGACCTTCCCTGAGTAGTTTTTAATCACAGATCAATTAAAGTGCATTTTGTTACTTTAAGTGTTTAGTAATCTGTATTCTTGAAATGATTACTCCGATCTCTCATCCTCTCATCTTTTTTCTAAAGATTTCTTCTGAAAGTGCTTCGGCTTCCCTTCCTCTATACCCTGCTGGAGCATAAGGCAGCCAGTCCCACCCTGTCCCCAGGTCCAGAATGTGCTCACCCTTGTGGGGAGGAAAAGGGTTGTAGAAGTGGCCTTTTCTCCCCTCTTGTTGCTCCTAATTCCAGCCACGCTGAGGAAGATCAGGTGGGCCGGCTGACACTTGAATCCTTTGTCAAGGACATTGCTGGCCTCAGGCTCAGGGAAGCAGGGTTGAGGAGTGTCTGAAGTCTGTCTGAGGTCCAACCAGTGCATGGTTCAAGCAAAGGAGCAAGAGTGGAAGCCCAGTCGGGAGTGGGGTGTGCCCCTGCCGTGAGGCATTCCCCAAGTCCCATTGGAAACTCAGCCACAGGCAGAAGAGGACAACATTAAGTTGTGAGCAGAGGGAGTCCTCAGCAGGGAGAAGGCGGAGCAGGACCCGGGGAGGTTGCAGAGAAGAAAGGAGGACGTCGGTGGTTGAAAAGGAAGAAGGAAGAAAAAGAAACAGCTGTCAAGACCCTCCCTCCTAGATGTTCCCCTTCAGTCGCCTCTGCAGTTCTGCAAAAGAGGTAGGAGTTTTCTCATTCCGCAGGTGACAGTGCTGAGGTGAAAGGATGCAGGAGAAGCCCTGTGAGGCCAGGCAGCCCTCAGTCGGCTTCCTTCCAAAGCCTACACCCTGTTCTTAGACATAGTTCAGCCTCGCCCACAGAACAACAGGCCTGAGAACTTGCCTAGGATCGCGCAGCTGGTAAATAAACTTAAGAACCAGTTTTCAGATGTATATCTCCTTGGTTTGGGAGCTTGCACCTCCACAGAAACAGGAACAGCAGGGAGGGCAGCTGTCTGTCATGGCTGGGCTGTGGCATACCCTCAGTGTAAATGGGACTAGAAAGTGGAGAGGCTGAAATGTATGGAATTTGATCCTAGGTGATGGGGAGCTGCTGGAGAACAGATGTGGTTCCAGCCCAGCAGCTCAGGTATAGATGGGGAGGTTGCTCCAACAAAGCCAGGGGGTCAAGATCTGAAACCCAGACATGCGGCCCAGGTGAGGTGACTTCCAGAGCAGCAGTGTCATTTATGCAGGAGTTAGTTTTCCTGGGTGCTGATGTGATGGAGTGTGTAAGAGGCAGGGACATACAGTCCTGCTGTCCTTCCACCTGGCTCCACTGCACTGAGGCTGCCGAAACCACCAAACTCACAGGCACCTCCATGAGACCCATGAGATGTAGCAGGGAGCCACAGCCACAGCCACTTACCTGTGCTCGTATTTGGATCATCTCCTTTGCTCAGTTATTGGCTGTCTGGGGAGTAAATCAAGGGGAAAATGACCTTCAGTGGAATCCACGAGTTCTTGTCCAACCAGATCTGGCTCCAGGCTTGGTCCCAGCACACCCACCCAAAGGCTGATGGTAAGCATGAAATGAGGTTGTATGAGTTGCTGCTGGCATAGGTGCCCGGGGTGTGACACTTTATCCAGGATGTCTCCCCCACCAGGTTTCAGGCCATCTCTTGGCCCTGGTGACATCCCTTACAATATCTACGTGAGTCGATGACCTATTCCATAGCAAATTAGCACAACTTTGATAATTAGAGGGTGTGGGGAGAGGCCTCTGCCTGGCATTCTGACCTGTTTCTAGCTTGTGAAAGGCAGCCAGCCCTGGAAGACTAGAGCTCAGATGCCAGGTCTCTGCCTCACTGCTGGCCAGAATCAGAGAGCAATGGATCTTGGCCTACAGAAGCCCCAGTGAAATGGGCCAGTCTGGCCCTCTGCAGTTACACCGTGTTAAGATTGTGTTATGACTACTGGATATTTCTTCTCCCTTGAGATGGGCAAGAATCACTATGTGGCAGTGAAAAGGCTTGGATCCTTCAGGGCCACTGCTTGTGAGGCCTCAGATTAGTGGCCATCATTTACTGGGGACCTGCTAGGGCCAGGCTCCAAATCCCACAGCCCTTTGAGGTGGGGATTATACCTTATTACTGAGTAATGGGATTACTGTGCACATTATTCAAATAAAATTAAGGCTCACAGTCACATAAATGGAGCCAAAACCAGGGCTCTCTGGCCAGGAGGTCCCTGCTTGTCCCCTTCCATCACATTCCCTTTCAATGGCTGCCACTCAGCTCTGCATCTCCACTGTGGGTCTGTCAGATGATAACAGCATCCATCTCACTGGGCCAGTGTAAGATGCTGTCGTGAAGTCCCTCACCCACTGTGCAACAAGTTCCTGAGGACTAGTTTAGAAAAGCAGGTCCCATCTCCAAAGCTGGAGTGGGGCCCAGGTGAGTGCTACTTTTAAGCACCTCAGGTGATCCTTGAGCTCAGCAAGTTCAAGAGGTACTCTCCTCCCTCACTGGAAAGTTGTTGTGCCAGTTTCTCAGAAAGTCTGTGTGTGCTGAAAGCCAGTCGCCAGCAGCCTTGGGGCTGTGCTGCTCCTGTGATTGCCACAGTAGCCTAAGTACAGCCCAGGGGTGGTTCACAGGGGATTATTTTGACAACTGAGATTGGTTGTGGGGTTCACCAGTCCTCACCTTCACCTCTGTGAGGAGCCTACAGCACCTCTGTGGCGCTTTTTACCTCGAAGCTGTCTTTGGTGGCAGGCTTACTTGTGAATCCTACTTCAGTCGGTCAGGTGCTGGCTCACTTATCTTCTTGGAGCCACAGTCCCTTCATCTGGAAAATGGGTAGAATCTGCACCTCACAGCTGACAAAATGGGTCAAGCACTTAGCACAAAGCCTACCAGGCAGCAACTTGTGAGACGCCTGGAGGTCCTCCTGGCTTATGTACTCACCCCACCATCTGTGCACGTCCTGGCCTGGGGCCACAAAGAGCGGCTCCTCGCCTGGGCAGTGAGTACTCCTCACCTAGGGTCAACCATGCAAGTAAACATGGGTTGTCCAAGCACGTCCTCCCCACACCAAAGTAGTTCCAAGATCCAGAAGTCTGGGAACCAGTGCTCTCAGTCAAGAACCAGACATCTCAAGGGAACGTGGAAAGGCCACTGGATTGAAAGTTGGGGGGCTTTGCCTCAGCTGCTGTTCAAGTTAAATAGACAAGGCAAGTTATGTCACCTCTGTAAGCCTCAGTTTCTTCATCAATAAAATGGGGCTCAGCAGAAGGTCTGAAGTCTGATGAAAGCCAGAGGAGAGTAAAGAGAAGGCCCCAGGATGGCCGGCTTGACCAGAGTCAGGCTGGGAAGTTGTGAGGGGGTGGTTTAAGCAGCCATATGATGAAAGGTGCTTAAAATTAAATTACAGATATTTGGAGTTGAGAATGAGCCAAGAGAAATCACCAGTGGGGGCGGGCTTTTGCAGAGTTGTGCCTTTGAGGTCTGGGTCCAGGCAGCTTCCGTGAAAGAGAAGGTCAGAATGTTTCTTTCCTTATTTCTGTGACTGCACTGACCTCTCTTTCTTTTTTTTTTTTTTTTTCCCAAAAGATAACCAGTAAGGGGATCTTAACCCTTGACTTGGTGTTGTCAGCACCATGCTCACCCAGTGAGCAAACTGGCCATCCCTATATGGGATCCGAACCCGTGGCCTTGGTGTTATAAGCACCTCACTCTCCTGAGTGAGCCACAGGCCGGCCCCTGACCTCTCTTTCAAAAGACTTGGGGTAGCTAAGAACAAAGAGAAAAATAAGGGAAGCCCTGAGGTGGACCCTAGGGTTTAAAGATAACTAAGACATCCTTACCCTGAAAGAGCTGTACACCACAATCCGCTGCGCAACAGAAGTGCCCTGGGAGGCCCTCTCTGCCTGCCTCCAAGTAGAGAATCCCCCCTGCTTGGCATCAGCCCCCTGTCTTGGATACAGCTCAACCCTCATAAGACCAAGAATTGGTCTACAGCTGATTATGCTTTATGTTTTATGATTTTCCGTAAGTATCCTTGCTAAGCAATGAATGAACATTAAATATGGACTGCCAACATTTCCCTTCTTATGTAACTATAAAGATAGCCCCATAAATCTTTTCCAGGGAAATTGGTGAGTTTCAAAGATATCACAGCAGTCTGCACTTAGGGGTAAAGTTGAATAACCTAAGTGTGATTTGTGGGGCCCCAAAATACCCTGCTGTAGTGGGTTAAATTGTGTCCCCCCAAAATATGTACAAGTTCTAACCCTTGTACCTGTGAATGTGACCTTATTTGGAAATAGGATCTTTACAGATGTAATTAAGATAAGAATCTCAAGATAAGATTATCCTGGGTTTAGAGTGGGCCCTAATCCAATGACTGTTGCCCTCATAAGAGAGAGAGGCAGGTGACTTGAAACACTGAGACACACAGAGAAAGGGGCCACATAAACAGGAGCTTAGAGCATGGTGCTGATAACATCAATGTCCAGGATTCAATCCCTCTACCAGCCAGCCACCAAAAAAAGCACAAAAAAATGATAGGGGCAGAGACTGGAGTGATGCATCTACAAGCCAAGGAGTGCCAAGAATTGCCAGCAACCAGAAGCTAGGAGAGAGGCACGGAACGGATTCTCCCTCAGAGCCTCCAGAAGGAAGCACCCCACCAATACCTTGATTTTGGACTTCTGGCCTCCAGAATTAGGGGAGAATAAGTTTCAGTCGTTTTAAGTCACTCAGTGTGTGTAATTTGTTGCAGCAGCCCTAGGAAACAGCTGCCCACTCCCATGTGGCTGTCCACAGACTATTATCATCCTCCTGAGACCCTGTGAAGGTCTTTGTTCAAACACAAATGTGACACCGTTACCTGGAGTGCTGTCTTGCAAATACTTGATGGGGTTAATCTCTGTTGGCAATCAGGAGCCTTAAGCCTATGAGAGTCAGCAGTTTCAATAGAAAGCAGGAAGGAGCTAGTGCTCCGATTGCTGCCAAGGTGGCCACACTAAGATGATGTCCACCAGCACTGGAGCATCCGCATCCAGTAGGAAATTTGCCAAAAGAAAGGTGGGACTGCAAAGTGAGAGGGGATTGGAGAGGCTGATTACCTTGTCCTTAACACAGTTTTGCATAAGTGTTGTCTGAACTTCGTCAGGCAATATGTTGGGATGGAAACAGCATGGGATTTTCAGATAGACTTGAATTTGAATCACAACAGGGCCACTTTTGTTCTTTGTGACCTCGAGCAAGTTTCTTATTTTCTCAGAGCCTCAGGTTTTTTGTCTATAAAATAGGAATAATCTTTATGTTGCAAGATTGAGTGAGGATTTAGTAATGTGCCTGGTACACAATAGAAACATCCTTACATGGTAGCTATTAATCAATACAAAATTTTTGAATGAATAAAGGATGAAACTTTTAGGGCTTTAAGATTTGAGAGGTTAAGGTAACCCAGACTCCCCAATCTTAGACTACGACTTTTGTGTCATGTGTGCTTGGACTAGCACAGACTACCTCTGCTCTATTCTCACTAGTCTTAGACTATATGTCTTTTGTATCATGTGTGCTTGGACTAGCATACCTTCTTTTGAGGAGTAGTACCCCATCTCCACCCTGCCATCCCTATTTCTGACATCAGGAACCGATCAGAACCCTAGAGTATAGGGGAGAGTATTTTTCCTGAGGCTCCCAGCATGAAAATCCCAAGGAATACTGATTGCTT